GAAAAACTATTTCACTAGGAGGGTGGTGAAACACTGGAATGCGTTACCTAGGGAGGTGGTGGAGTCTCCTTCCTTGGAGGTTTTTTAAGGCCCGGCTTGACAAAGCCCTGGCTGGGATGATTTAGCTGGGAATTGGTCCTGCTTTGAGCAGGGGGTTGGACTAGATGACCTCTTGAGGTCCCTTCCAACTCTGATATTCTATGATTCTATGATTCTATGACAATGAGCCTCCCTCAGTGATCAGGGAAGTGCAGTTCCCACCAGTGCTGGAGACCAGTGCCAAGGTGGGGAAGTCTGCATTCGGGCCAGCATGATCAGTTTCCCATTAGATGGTACCGTGGGCTCTGGAACCAAACCGTAATTAGGGGCCATGTACTCCCTCCTGCCTTCCAGCACCGATACAACTGACTCCTATACTGCTGGTGACGCCAGTACCGACAGCGATAGCAAGTCTCTGGCAGCAGCAGCAAATGCCTCCAGTGTGGATGGCACTGCAATAACACAGGTATCACACTGTTCCTCAGGTGCTGATGGTTCATCCGGTATTAGACTCTATGGTGCTGACTGCTGTGATGCCAAGGCAGAGGAGTGGCCTGACTTAGGTCTCACACTGCTCTGCTCCCCGTGCCTGGCCTTTGGCGTCAGGGAACATCCTCTCAGTTTCTTATGCCTCTTCCTCGGCAGTGGGGATGGCGAACAGTGCTGGGAATCTTGCCTGGTGGAAGGAGCGCTCCTCACTGATGCCAAGGTGCTTGGTGCCAAGTCCAACCTGGCTCAGAGAAAGGTTTCAGCACTGCCTTTATAAGCAGGAATTTCAACCTGGCCTCCCGATCCTCCTTCATACGAGGCTTAAAGTCTCTGCAAATCTGACAACGATACCTGACATGAGCCTCTCCCAAGCACTTTAGGCAACTAGAGCACGGGTTGTTCAGGGGCATAGCCTTGTTACAGGATGCACAAGGCTTGAAGCCTGGTGACCGAGGCATGCCTTGGCACCAAGTACTGACGAAATTCTGCTAACAAACAGAGAAACACAGACTATACTAACAAAGACTAATTAACTATTTACAACTACTAACTATAAAAATTATCAGAAAAATGACGCCCACTGAGAAAGCTTGCCGTAGCAAGAAGCACAGTTCCAGCGACCGTCATGGATGGTAAAAAGGAACAGAGGAGGTGTGGGGTTGTCTGGGCCCTTTAAACTGGCACTATGAGTGCGTGGGTATGAGAAGGCCCCCAAGCCACCCCAACGGCTACCACCGAGGGAAAAATTTCCGGCAACTGTGCTCAGGGCGTGTACACATCTACAATGGAATGGACATGTGCAAGCACTTGAAGTTTTGTACTCCATTCTTATGACAAATGTGGTCAGCATGAATATGCTGCAATAGAATGCCCTCCTTCCTTTTAGTGTTTCAAGACTCATCATCCCACAATGCTATAACAAGAGGATTTCTCTTCTCTCATTTCATGTGTGAAGGAAATAGTAAGAAATTTAAAATTAAAATTTGAAGTTGCTGGGTGTTTTTTAGTCCAATTATCTTCATGCCATTAAGATTTCTGAAATAATAGGTACTAAAAAGAAAGTTATTTCTGAAGAGCAGAAATTTTCCACTTATCTGATCTGTTCACCACAAAAATGGTCTTGATTTCAGATGTTGGATACTTAAAGCCTTCAAAAGCTATATAACTATAATGTCAAATAGAGTAATCCCAAAGCACTTATGTACTCTTTGATTGGACAGACACCGTAGCATAAACTAGGGTACTGACATCTATTAACAAGTCTTCCAAATAAAGAAAGGAGGGAAAGAATCAAACTAAAAGTCGTAAAAGAGAAATCAGAGAAAAGTATTTTGTTTCTTTGATGGCTGTAACTCACATGTACTATGCAGTTACTAATCAATTACTAAGCAGAGTACATACTTTTATTCTTCATTGTCAAGAAAAAAACTTTAATAAGAAATTGTCTGTTTTAGGAAATGCCTTGTAAGTAAAATGTAAAGTCTATTTCAGGAGATATCTTCCAAGGGCAAAAAAACCCCACATGAAATTAAATTACAAATATACTGTACATGCAATCTAAACCAGATCCAGCTAGATAACTGGACATCTTATGTATCAACTGCATCAGAGCTATAAAGTCTTCATAATCCATGCAAAGCATTCAAAACAGAAACTATACTCATAAGCATAGGAAAGCCTACCTTACAGCCAAGCATCTCTGTGATGGGGTCAATTCTTCTTCTTTTCGAAACATTCCTGTAGAAGAGGGAAGAAATAAGCACTAGTTAACCATTTATTTGCCAGAGATAATGGGGTTTCCTTGTGTCACAGTTCAGGGCAACTGTACCTTTATCCCCCCCTTCTGTGGTCCTTCGAGGGCACCCACTACTCGGCTGCTCAGCCATCCCGTTTTGAAGTGGTGCTGAAACTAGGGGTGCTGCTTGAAGTAGTAAGAACAAACACCACATACATGGTTTCCATTGTTTCCATCATTAGCACTCCCATTATAAAACCTGTTCCAGCACCCCTGCTCTCTTAGACAGAGACTCACATTCCTCTGCCTCCTGACCGGAGGCTGCACAGTTTCCTGCCCACACTGTGATATTCCCAGCAAGCCAGACTGCCTAAACAGGCCAGCATCTGCACTTTGCTTTCTCTCTAAGGGCTATCAACAGCTGTCATTGCCTGCAGTTACAAGTTACCATGCAGCTCTTTCTAAGCGAGCACCTTTATTTTTATTCTTAAGGTGAAAACATTACAGAGTAAACATATTGAAAATTAAAAAACGTATACTAATGCTAATAAGTTTACCAGAGATCACCACCCCTCCCAACTCCAAAAAGGACTCTGGTATGAGTCAGTCCTTCAACCCTCACAATGGGGTTTTTCTGTGGTTACAAGTTCATAACAGCCTTAGCTCAGAATTAGTCAACCTATGTATATGTTAGTCTTTCCTTTATTATAGCTTGAGCTTTTGATCTTGAGACTCTGGGAACAAGTAATCCGTAGACAATGATCCCCTCTTCAGGGTGTACCTTCTAAAGCAGGAGTCTCAAAGTCCTGGCCTGTGGGCCATCTGCGGCCCGAGAACTCCCCACTGCAATCCATGGAGGAGAGATGCATGCAGACACGCTGCCCGATGTCTGCTGCAGACGCTGCCCCCCGCAGCTCCCATTGGCTGGGGGAGAGGGACAGAGATACCATCACTAGTCACCGGGCAGAGTCAGCCATGGAGGCAGCATCATTAGTTGCCAGGCAGAGTCAGCCATGGAGGCAGCGTCACTTTTTTCCACAATGAATATAAATAAGTCAAAATACTGAACACAACTATCTGATGCACACCTTGCTGCAATCCTGAAGATTTCAACTGCTCAGTCACTGAGGCCAAACATCAACAAACTGATAGAACTGAAGCGTTGCCAGGTGTCTGGCAAACACTAAAAACTCTCTGGCAGGCGAAGAATTGTATAAAGTTGTATGACAGTTTTATTATTTCTAAGAAATTCTAAATAAAAAATACAATATAAACGTTTTCTTTTCTGAACACCATCTTCAGTGACATTATTGGCCCGTTGGGAGGATTTGAGGACTGGCACTGGCCCTAAGGTAAATTGAGTTTGAAACTCCTGTTCTAAAGGTTGGGTTTTGCATAACTGGAAATGGAGAATTTGCATTCACCTCCCCTTAGAGATTACCTAAGTAAACCATTTGACGCTATTAGTCCCAAAAGTCCATTCTTGTCCAGCACATTGTTCAGTATAGTCCTTTGAATTTCATACGACTTCCCAGGGTTCACAGCCCATCCCTTCCCAAAGGGAAGTTACATACAATCCTGGCTCACAATCATTGAATACAGTGGTTTTCAACGTGTGTGTGTGTGTGTGTGTGTGTGTGTCTCTCTCTCTCTCTCGTTTAAGGA